GTAAACATGACTTCTGGCTGGCATGATTTCTACAGATTCCTCACAAAGAACAATTACATCATCTGTTACTGCAGTTGTCTCTCACGTGATTTGTGTTGTTAATGATTCTGAACTGTGCTACAATAGCACCATCTGTTGGTGTTGCTAAGACGATGTAAGCCTGATTCTGAACTGTTATGATTGGTATGATCTGGTGTTGTAAAATAAAAACTACATGTCTGTCTTTTATGAAACCAAAACTGTGTTTTGGGGAGAAATCAAGTTTAACCTATCACCATGGTGGAGGTTAAACCAGTGCTTGATGAAATTTATTATAAACCAGATCATTATTAAAACATGCTGCTAAAGATGAGATGGAAGGAAAGTTAAAAACAGAAGATAAAGACTGGCTGTCTGAACAAAACATATACAAGCTAAACTATCATTGTATGAGAAACAGTCTTTGTAATAGGGCCTATGTGTCAGGTTTCTCATTAGGAAAGGACTCAAAAGCAGAGACACAAAGTCTGGGTGAGTTTTAAGAATTTTATTGGGGGGTTTCTGATGAGGCAGAGCTACTCCAGGGGGTGGGAGCTGTGAAGGTGGCTGTGCTGTTGAGGGCACAAATGTTGCCTCTGGCATCAATGATGTTTCCAAGTGGTCTCCCATCAAGATACTAACCAGGCACAGCCCTGCCTAGCTTCTGAGAGAAAACAAGCCTGAACAGACACACATGAATGAGGAAGGCCAGACTGTAGGCGCACATCTGCATGTGAGCTAAATGATGGTGTAAAGAAAAGGCAACAATAAAATATTTAGTATCAGTATTTCCCCCAAGCTGTCAGAACTTTTTAACCTTAACTACACCCCTCTACTAAAAAAAGATAGAGGATTTCAAAACCATAAAACCGGGTGCGGTCAAAAAATTCTGCTTTTACAATGGCACTGGTGGATGTCAGGCCAGTTCACATGAACATGTAACGGCCTGGATTTTATGCCCATTCAAGGAGATCCTTAAACTATCACATAATACTTTATCTTGTTAGAAAAAAGTCTTTGCGAGATGTGTATAAACTCAGTTGCTTCTGCATAAAAATACTGCAACATACGTACACCTCATTTTTTACGATTATAAGTCACCGTTGTAACACTGTAGATAGGTCAGAGAACAAGGAAAAGTGCCTTGGGCTCTTTAAATGCTGACGGTGTATACACATTGTTACTGCTGGGAACATATGGTTAGTAGCTACATCTTAGGATTCTCATATTACATCAAATATGTCTGAACAAACACGAATACACCTAGTAATTGAACCGAGGAGAAAGAAAACACAATAAAAGACACAACAGGTCAGTCAACTTCACTATGCAGCAATGCCCTGTCAAAACAGCATTTTCTCAAATGCCTCTCTGAAAGGAAAACCTGATAAAACATAAAGTATGTTTACATGGTATTGCTGATGAAAGATAATTTTAGCATATTAGGCTACATAGTATGTGGTGGATTTCCACCAAGGAGTGATAAAGTCTTATATCTTATTGACCTGAAATGTTACCTAATCAATCTAGGATATTAAAAAGTTCTGTACTTCCCTAAATGTACTGATGTCAAAATATGAGGTAAGTGAAAATGAAAATGTTAGGTATAAAACACTGTGGGTTGTAGTGTAGTGGGAGAGAGCACATGATGACTCTGTGGTGTCTGATAATGTACAATGACCATTAATTAAATGTTAAAACCAAAGTCTTTTTATGCAGATTCATGAAATGGGAACACTCAGTAGCATCCCTCTGTTGTTGGAGTATGTAATACATTCTTAACTGAGATCAGTAGAGTCTGAAGTCCTCATCCATAAAAGAAAGTTAGAAATGTTTTGGCTTGACTTTCTCTAATTCTCTTTCTCTTCTAATGATGAAAACAATATCCTAAACCTGAGAGCACAAGATCTATGATCCAAATGTGCAAACAGTTCATAAGATTACAAGAAATAAATTTATTATGTGTAGTTTAAATCTGTGGAGAATGGCTGGGCGCTCCTTAGGGATAGGGTGCGGAGCTCAGTCACTCGTGAGGAGTGCAGAGTAGAGCCACTGCTCCTCCACATTGAGCGGAACCAGTTGAGGTGGCTCGGGCACCTGGATGCCTCCCTGGAGAGGTATTCCAGGCATGTACTACCAGGAGAAGGCCTCGGGGCAGACCCAGGACATGTTGGAGAGACTATGTCTCCAGGCTGGCCTGGGAACACCTTGGGATTCCTCCTGAGGAGCTAGAGGAGGTGAGTGGGGAGAGAGAAGTCTGGGAGGCTCTGCTCGGACTACTGCCCCCGCGACCCGGTCCCAGATGAAGCAGAGGTTTAAATCTGCCTGACTTTATGTAATATTTAAATCTTATCCATCACAGAGGAAAGACCAACAAGTCCTTAATTAACATTAAAAGAGATCACTAGTGACATCTAAATCATATGCTCACACCACTACAAGTGTTTTCTCAGCTAGTAAGCTATTTTGAGTTTTTGAAGAATTCCAGTTCAGCAATGAAGGATTCTCCTCTGGACTCACAGTCCCAGAACTCTGAACCACCACCACCACCACCAGTCTCCACTCTTTGACCCAGAAAGGGTTCGACTGCAGATTCTTCTCTGCCTGGCAATGTGGAGCTCCAGAGCTAGTGGCTAACAGATGGGTCCCATCTGGTTAAGTTGATGTCTCATAAAGCTGGAGCCATAGCCCATAAAAACCCATAACTTTCTCTTCAAATTCTTCATTAAACCCTAGAATTTAGAACCAAATCTATCATGATTTAAGTGTAATTTTAACTCACTTTCCACCAGTAGCTTATTCTGTCATGCATCCACTGGTCCATTAGCCACCTTTTTGTTTATCTGCTTAATGTAACAATGGTAATTCCTTTTTTCCTCCTTGTACATATGTAAATAAATTCATTTATATTAGAGCTGGCTTTCTCATGTCACCTTTTGTCTCTTTTATTTTCGGTAAATAAGTCACTGAACTGAGGACTCATTACTTTTAGATTGAGAGTGGATTAATAATTCATATTAATAAATCATTATAATTTAGATTAATAAAGTCATTGTTTGTGTGGCTCGTGTTACAGCCTGGTGCCATTATTACAAAGCATAACAATTAAAAATTGATAAATTGTAGTCATAAATCTGCTTGAGGAAACAAAAGGTCAAATCCTCAGTACTGTTTCTGGGAATCTGGAGTTTTCAGCCTACCAGAGGAAGAGTTTACATTCCACAGTTAAACACAAATTACATATGGTATTAGGCCTGATTCTGCTAAATTCAAATTCTTATATGTGTCCAATTCAAAATCGTGGGAAAGTGTTCTCACAGACAGGTGGCGGTGATTGCACTGGTGCACTTAGGATGGGCTATAGTATCACAAATCTTTTATTATAATGTTGGCACTGTATACACCTGCATGAATATGACCAAATGAGTGAGTTAATGTGACACATGAGTGAAACAGTTGATGTCAATAAGCTTGTATTATTATTAGAAAACATGGTGTCTCTTTTTATTGTTTTGCTGATGACATTCAGCTGTATTTCCCTTTAAAGCTGCAGGGAAACAGTTGTGTAAAGCCACTGGACAGATATTACAGCCTGGATGGTGTCTTTTTACATTTAAATGAAAATAAAACTAAACTTATACTTTGTGGTCCCAGTGTTCCGTAAAAAAAGCCCTTTCCTTGAATCTAGGACCTTTAAATCCTTTTATGAAACCATCTGGCTGTTATTATGGATAGTGCCTTCAAACTAGATAAAAACATTAACTCTGTGGTCAGTGTGAGTTTCTTCCAACTTACTGGTAAAACACACTAGAAGTGTTTTTGGAAGCATTTTCTAGACGCATCTTGTGCTGCAGATCGAATTCCATTATATCAATCCACACCAAACCCATGAGCCACACATCTCCCATTGAACCCTTGTGTTTTTTACCTTTTATGTTCCATGTGGGCTAGTGGTTAAGGCACAGCGCTCTCGTCGCTGTGGCCCGGGTTAGCATCAGGGTTGCATCAGGAAGGGCATCCGGCATAAAACACGTGCCAAATGTCAACATGCAAGTCGTCAGTGTGACAATTCGCTGTGGCGACCCCTAAATAGGAAAAGCCGAAAGTGACTTTCTTTCTTTCTTTCTTATGTTCCATGTATGTTTTTGGCCCTCTGCTGCATTTAGTGAAACGTAATCTCCACAGTCCATTGTTCAGATCACACAGATCCCATTGATTTCTGTTTTTACTGGCATCTGTTATGACTGATCAGGCTGCTCGAGTTTAGGCTACATACAGTACAAACACATTTTCTTCCTGATTATCTTACATGAAAACTATTTTTGTGCAGTACACTTGTGTTCAGCCTGGAGTAGACTCTTTGTCCCACCGCTGTCCTGCTGACAGACAGACAGCTGTTCTGATGACTTTGTCCCAAAGATGCATAGAACATGTAAAGGCAATTGCTACCCCAAAACTATGGAGCAAACTGCCCCTTCATATTGGAGAGGCCCCATTCATGGCTATTTTTAAATCTCAGTTAAAGAATCATTATTCTTCTTTGGCCTATGACATTAGGTTGCCAGTAGTTGTGCAACACAAACCACCCCTAGATGCAAATAAATGATACATGAGAATAATCATATTCACTATAACAAAAAAAAAAGCACCAATATGGTCTAAAATGCTTGAACATATATATATATATATGCACTTGGAGTGATTTTTCAGGCCCCACTCTGTGTCACTCAAACATCATTATTACTGACACGCATTAAAGTAAGATAAGTCTTTTTGTCAGTGTGCTCTGAACTCAGTGCATCTCTCTTGTGACTCGTAAGTCAGTCTGGTAAGCAAGCAAGGCTGGTCAGAAAATGTCATCATCATCTCTGCCTCTTTAACTCCCAGTACTTTGACCTGCCTTTCTCATCATATTAGTTGAAAAACTCCTTTTTGAAAATCTCTCTACAGCAACCTCAGCAGCTCTCATCAGTAATGTTTTAAAACCGCTCTGCCTTCACCTGTGGAAATGTTAAAGACTGGGCAGTGGGGCAGGGAGTGAGCATGGAGCAGGGGTTCAGTTCTTTAATCTTGTAATGGGAAAGAAATCACATAAGTCACTCAGCAGAGCTCGGTATAAAGATGTCTCTCCCAGGCTTGGAGCTCTCCCCCTTCGGCACACACCAGCAGGTACGATTCACTCCTCACTTGTGGTAGCCAAACCTGATGGACAGAAAAAAAGCAAAAGAAGGCTATTTCTTTAGATTAGATAAAAATGACATCAAATTATATACTTTTGGCCATTTTATTTGATATGTGAAATAAATATATATGTTCACCAGAGTTGAATATTAATAGTGTTAATAACTGGTCAGCCATGGACAATGCCACAAATATAATTTCAGAGGCTTTTTGTTTTTTTTACTACAATGACTAAAATTTGAACTGTTACTTCTTAGACATTTTTGAATAAGTATTGTCAATTTAAAGCATACTGTATGTCTGTCAAACCAGAGACCACTGCAAAACTTTTATGTATTAAACTAGCCCCCCATCTTTGCCTGACCTTCACCAAGTGCTCTTACTGCCTAAATATAACCACTCAAAATGTAATAATGCTGTATTCACTATCAGTGGATACTGTACTTCAGCACTGAATATGTTTACACAAAATGTATCTAATGTTGCCAATTAAATGTACAGTTTGTATAATGACATGGAGCCAGGGATGTGTGTATAGGCCCACACACTGCTGAGACAAGGCCTAAGCAGAGGAAGAGAAAACACCTGTGTAGGTGTACCAGGGCTTTATAGTGGCTTTAACATGCACATTCTTTCTTTCCTTGTCACTGATAATTAAGTAATCCCCAACATACAACTACAAAATATATTAGTTACATAGAATTGTCATTACTCTGGAAAGAACCCACCAGGTTAATGTTAAATGACAGACTACTCTTTTGTATTTTGTCTGTACCCTGTGGAACAGGAGCAGGTGACGGTGGAGAGGAATCACCAGCGGGTAATGGCAGGCTGGGGGTGCTCTCTTCTTCTGTAACATATGCAAGTCAGACCAGTGAACTCCTAGCAGCTTTGGAGAAATATAAAAGAACTGCAGCTGTATACATTTCAGACATAGAAGCTCTCTCTCAAGTCTAGTTTTGGTTAAGCAGTCAACAACTGCAAAGATTCTGCAAATTAATCAAATAGTTTGTGCTGTTTTAAATGTGTTTTTGTTTTCCATGTCAGGCAGAGAAAAAGAATATGAAAGTCGATTAAAGACAGGCTTACATTCCCTGGTGCATCCACACAGTGGGCAGGCAGAGCAAGAGATGCTGGGCAGATACTCAGCTCTGTGATTGGAGGAGAGAGATGAACATCAGGCCCATGATGTGTGGCAGAGATTTTGTGGTTGGGGTGTTCTGCCAGCCAGTCAGCCAGATTTGCAGTACAACAAACACAACAGAACCAAAAACAGCATGTTTGTGGTAATGAAATAGATGATGGTGTGAATGTGGAAGGAAGGACAGAAGGAGTGGTGGTGAAAGCAATGAATGAAGTGAAGTAACTCAGTGGCATGCTTCTGCAGTAAGAGGGGTTATGGTCCTTATTCATAACACCTTCATCTACCAGTCTTGCAACAGGAAGGACCTCATCACTGTATCTTTAAAAAGCATGTGACACTGTATTGATTTATGGAAAGGGGCATTCTAGTTCCTGCATACCATGACTATTTTTAGAGTTGGTATTTATCACCATGTTCTGACTGAGGCCTCCAATATAAGCAGATGCTGCAGGGTCTGTGCAGCACTGTTTATTCTAAGTGGCTCATATTGTCTGGAATTCATTCCACCTCGCATTTATGCTGTTTTTAAGAGACTGTGGACCCTAAAGTAGTACTTGTGCTGTGTGGATGTCTGTGTGATTAGGTAATGTTACTGAAATAACTGGCATTCTGAAAACAGCCTTACATGTAGATCTTTTTTTATCAATCAACTGGGTTAAATTTAAAACCACATCTGTCCTATCCTGTACTTCTGGACTATTAATGTTATCTTGTGGATTTCAAAGCTTTTTACCTACACCTCCAAATCAGAAAAAGTTGGGACGGTATGCAAAATCAAATTATAACTGAAAATAGTGCTTTGTAAATCATCTGTGTCCTATATGACATTGAAAACAACACAGCAGCACATTGTTTAATATGATACATCATCAGTTTTATTCTTTGTTCACAAAAACCACTAATTCCAATTCTGATGCTGCAACACATTCCAAAAAAGTTGGGACGGCTGCATTTCAGGGCCAGATTCCATTTGAAACAGGTGATGTCAACAGGTGACTGCATCATGATTTGGTACAAAAGTGAGCCCTTTAGGAGCAAAGATGGTCCGAGGGTCTGTCATGGTCTGGGGTTGTGTCAGTGCCCTTGGCAAAGGTCACTTACACTTCTGTGATGGCCCCATTGATGCTGAAAAATACAGAGAAATGTTGGAGCAACATCTGCTGCCTTCAAGACGAGATCTTTTCCAGGGACACCTATGCATATTTCAAGAAGACAACACAAAACCTCATCCTGCACATTACCAAGGCCTGGCTGTGGAGGAAAAGGGTGTGAGTGCTGGACTGGCCTGTCTGCAGTCCCGACCTGTCCCCAGTAGAAAATGTGTGGCGCATTTTGAAACACAAATTGTGTCAACGAAGACCCAAGACTGTTGTGCACCTTAGTTTACAGGAGGAATGGGACAAAATGACACCTGACACATAGTGTCCTCAGTCCCTAAACGTCTTTTAGTGTTGTGAAAAGGAACGACAACATCACACCATGGTAAATGTTTTACTGTCCCAACTTTATGTGCTGCAGCATCAGAATTGAAGTGAGTGTTTATTTTGAACAAAAAATAAAATTGATGAGGTGTCACATCAAATAATGAGCTGCTGTATTGTTTTTAATGTGATACAGGACACATGATTTACACATCACTGTTTTCAGTTTTTTGATTTTACATAGGTCCCAACTTTTTCAAATTCATGGTTGTACAAAAAATGAGTGTAATGAAAACTCATGACTGAGGTCTTCACCATGTCACAGTCTTCACAGAAAATGATATTGGATCCTATGGTGCCAAGTCATGTAGAGGCATGATTACAATAATGATGAAGATGATGGTGTAATGAAGAAGCAGTGGTGTTGATCCCTTGCCTGTCTCCTTGGTGCCTGTCCAATCCTGCATCTCCCCCTTCAATCTCTCCATTTCTTTCTCCAGCTCACAATATCTCCTCTCTGCTTCTTGTAACCGTCTGGTCGAGAAAAAAGGTAGGACTGTGAGTTTCATATTTTCTTTTCTTATTTTCCTCATTTTATAGTTTCAAGTGATTTCAATGAAACTGGGATGAAATACTGTCATTGAAATGAATGCTTGAATTTACTCATATTTGTACTTTCTCCTTCTGAGGAACATTTCAAACAACAAAGATCCAGTCGATGTGAAAAATATCCCATTTTTGTCTTTCATTTACTGCAGTTCAATTAAACTCCTCCCATGTAGATCCATTTAAATTCATAAAGCATAATTGCCAGTCCTATTGGCATTGGCAACTGTAAACATTCTATCTTTACAACTGTTCAGTGTTTGAAATGGGTAAATTTTATTTGTAGGAGGCTCGTTCTGGTTGCTCGTGATATACATTGTTTTGTGGAAGTTCTTGTGTTCTCTTATTGCTACAGTGGAGGTGGAGAGTGCAAAATTAACACCCACCCACAGTGCCACAATAGCTCAATTTATGGGGAATATGCCAGATTGATATGAGTTGGAATTATGCCTTAACTGTATTCAGAAAACAAGAACATTATCACTTCAGTTTTAGATGCCATCCATCATCTAACTCTGAAACAGATTTTAATATTTTACTGTTAACTCAAAGTTGAAGTTACCGGAGATGAGAAGGTCTGACACTTAACAAAAATTATATAAGGATTTAAGGTTAGTTAAAGCTACAATAGAGTTGGGGGAGAGTTGCTGTCCAGGGCCCAGACTCATCAAACAGCAAACAGCCTGGCAGCAGTGCAGAGATATTTCTTTCTAAAGTTTTCTGTTTAAGATGGTGCTCTTAACCAATCAGAGAAGGCCACTGTCAGGGTTGGGAGCTCACAGCTGTCAATCAATATGTGAACGCACATCGGCTCTATTGACACGGTTACAGGTTAACAAGCTAATGATTTCGGTGTTAGCTGAGACAGCTACATAAAAAGAAGGCAAAAAGAGAGAGATGATAAGGATTCAAACCATTACCCTTTGTGCTTGTAGCTAAAATGTGGCAGAACATTTGCACTCACAGTGTGACTATAACAGCAGCTGGCTAAGTTAAGGATGTCACTGTTGTTAGGTTATTTCTTAGTTAGATAGATATTCAGAGATTTGTTGTCTAGAAATGTTTAGTGGAGACAGGATGTCTAGCTCAGGCTGTTAAAGGCTTAGTGATTTTCATGTGCTTGCAGACTGCATCTAGGCCAAGGCTAATTAAATCATACAAAGGCTGCAGGCAAGGATGGTTGTTATTATTAGCTGTAATGCTAATCTTAATATTTGTCTTAATGTGAAATGTCATGTCAAATTGTTCT